AAATGCGGATTCTCGGTATTTTTCCCCGGCCCGTTAGTGGGCGTCCACAGATACCAGCGGACAAAGCATGAGTATTATGCTCAGCTACGGGGACATGCGAGTGCCAACGCACTAAATCCCAGACCTCTGCAATGTATCGGAGTCGTCAATATGCATCCAAGAGCAACTGAAGGCGGAGACTAACAAGAGGGCAATACCTTTCCCGTGTCTGTAAGTAAGAATATCAACACTGTGGATCCCCACATAGCATCAAAAGGAAACAATTTACGTGAGCCAATATTTTAACACTCACTACAGGGAGCCAAACCTACGCGAGCAGGTGCCTAAAACGCTTTTAGATTATCATAATGAAGCAAATTCCTACCCTCGGTTATGATCTCAATTCCGCGTCCACCGCGGGTACGTTATTATCATAAATGAGAGGAAATGCAACCTCCGTATCGGCGTTATTGTTAGACATGGCAGACATTTGAGCAAGCGCTGCGAAAAATGGCACCGCGAGCAGAGACGGACGAGGAGTTCAGTCGCCGTCTGCTCTTGTCGTCTGCTTCTGCACGGACGCTAAACCGAGTCCGGAGCCGGCGCAAGGTTTTGAGGAACTGGGTCTGAACTCGTTCAGAACTGGGATGAATCGAACGCGCCAGTGCAGCGGTCGTGCAACTTCCGGTTGAATCGAATGCACCAGTTCCTGCACTGCCGAACTATAGTTCAGCCAGTTCACCGAATCGAACAGACCTAAATTGACTGATCCGATTTGGGCGAGGGGTGGGTGGACGTAGTTTAATATCGTTGGCACAGCATCACACCTCAGCTTACAAGCCTTCTGTCCGCTGAGAGCTCAGCTCGTAGCTCTCTTCTGTGAGATGATTGCTGCATAAGCAGGATCTCGATCTGGACGGGAACCCAGTCCCTACGCACGACGACGATCCACTTTGCTCGTCACTGCACGTCTCGCGGAAAAGTGTGGAACGTCATGTCTTGACTCGCATGTGCTGCCCAGTGGTTGTGGCACCCAATCGCGCAACGAAAATCTCACCCAACAACGAAAGAAGTCGAGCACAACAACAAAAACGAAGCACGCTGAGGCATTCACTCGCAGGCAAACAACGAGACAAAAATGCTCGCCTGCTCGCTTTGTGTTCTGTGACGTCAGAGCTTCAATGTTGCCAACGAAAGCAGCGTTTACGCTAGAATGCGATTGGAGCAGTATAAATTCAATTACTCACGCATAGAGGCATATAAAATTCGGATATTGCACGTACGATGCTTCTCGAGGCAATAACAATGATGTTCAATTGTTTTCTCGAATACAAAATTTGACCGGACAATCCCTTTAAGTTCCACTGCGTCGAGCGCTTCAGATTCCCTTGCGAAAGAAGAGCAGATCGCTCGCCTGGAAAGCCACCGCCAAGAACAGAAGCTACAGCTCCGCTGCTCTTCCTTCTTCACCAAAATAAAAAGACTAAAAGCTTTTTTTTTTTTAATTAGGTATAATTTTTGAGCGAGATAACAGTTTGTTCTGAAACTTTGGCCTCTGGTTCGGACTGACAGGCGTAGTGTGTATACCTTCTGGTGGAGAATGAGCGTCCGGCGATGTGTAATGCATTTCAGCGGAAGAAAAAAATACTGGAATATTTTTTTGGGAGGACACGCCATATAGTCACTGACAGCTTATAAAACACAGGTTGTGTTTAATTATGTTCCCGCATCTTGCTTCATGATTCGTTCTATAGGGCGTCTCTATCGGCCTGGCGCTCAATTCTCCAATTCTCCCTGACTGCGGAACTCGAAACTCGCTACGTACGACTTTTCTTTTCTTTTTTTTTTTTTTAAAGCTGTGTTTGATTACATAACAGAACAAAAAGAGCAGAACATGTTCAATTCAGATCATAAATCATGCCTGATAGGCTACACACCTTATCGGACCAGACACCGAAATCTACAGAAGGCTGTTCTAATAGTGAGATGAAAATGACGCGTTGCTACAAAAAAAGAAAAAAAAAAGTGAAAGCCGTTTACAATTCCATGTAACTCCGAATTAGAACGCAGCTCTTGAGGAGGAGGAGGGAAGGGTATTGAGGGGAGGGTATACCTCTCCTCCCTCCTCGACATTGCCTCGACAGTGAAGTTGGCTCGACATTGCAGATGGCAAGCAGCGCAATGCGATTCAAGTCGCGAAGTACGGGATAACTTTTTCTTTTTCCTCTTTCTTCTTTTCCGATCCAGCCAAGCTATTGGGCTCCGACTGTCAAAAACTCGGATCCATTTTTCCCGACCAAGACTGTCGAGTCCCGACTTTTCGAACCGGCGCCGAAGAATGCGAAAGTCGTGATAGTCACCAGGGAACTGCGAAAGGTCCATTTTATTCTCGATTATGTTTACTCATTTGGTTCCAAGTTTCTTTTAACGCTGGAATCTGACACTGGCCTAGTCGGGTACACTACGCTGTTCCGATGATTTTGTTTTGTAAGCCGGTGATTTTCACAGATGCAACGTTTTGCACACTCGTTCTCTTGACCGTTCCTCTCATTTGCGTAAAAATCAAGCAGCGTATCCTTATTTGAGAGCCTTTAGTAGAATGCCAAACCTTGTCTGTCTTACGGAGACATAGGAGGTTAACGGACGCGTCTCTCGCGCTCGAACGTCTCCAATGTGCAGCACTTCGGCCAGCAGAAGGCGCTGGACGGTGTCGACATCGAGGTCTACGAGAATCAAGTGACTGTTCTGCTGGGGCATAACGGAGCCGGAAAGACGACACTCATGAGTATACTCACAGGTATAATTTTTTTTTTCTATTGGTGGATATAATGTTCCGTTTCATATTGACAGGAGCAAAACTAAAGCATCAATACACATGTACTATACTCTAAGGCGCTGGATTGTTCCCGGCTTTATATTTCTTTGGGCACATTTGTAGCCTAATCCCAAGTTGCCGAAAAAAAAAATAAAAGCGATTAAATATTGAGTTATAAGCTTTTTGGGCAACGCTCGTCAAAAAATCAGGCGCTAGAAAAAATCATCCATCCGCGTTACGAAGGGGGACCCAAAAGTAACCAGAATGAATTTATGGAGGGCGGGCCGTTCGTAGTGCCATCTTCCGCCGCTAGCAGCGCTTAGCGTTGCCCCTTTCGAGTCAGTTTGACGACCGGCGTCGTCTGCTAAAGTCCGAGCGGCATGTTATAAAGTTTTTTTCCAAGCACATCGAAATCATTCCTAGTTTTTTGTTTGTATGATTTATGTTTGATTTGAAGAAACAGCGTGCGGCCGTGAAATTCTGTTTTCTTTTAGGGAAAACAACACCGGAAACTCTTGTAATGATTCAGACAGCTTCCAAAGGAAATGCTATGAAAGGTCCCAAGTTTACCAGCGGTTTTCTTTTTTCAAGGCCGGTGAATTGTTGATCGACGACCAACCTCGTTCAGGGCGAACCTCAGCTTCCTCAACTGATGAACACATCGAGGAAATGTTGGATTTGATATTAGCAGACCGTTGAACAACAATTGAAGAACTTGCTGAACTGAGTGAAGTGTCTTGACGCGGTGTCGACGCATTTTTACCGAAAATTTGAACATGAAAAGTGTTTCAGCGAAATTTGTGCCTCGTTTTCTCACTGCTGATCAGAGACATTCCTGAGTGAACGCCCAGTCAGCGCAACGATTTTTGAACCAAAATGGTATGACACCGCTTCTCTCTCCCGCCCCTATTCACCGGATCTCGCGCCACAAAAAAGTTCTGAAAGGAAAACGTTTTGTGAATGTGAAAGAGGTCAAACGAAAAACGAGGGAGGCATTAAAAGGCGTTACACTTTGGGTGAGTCCAGAATTGTTTTGAAGAGTGGAAAGCACGTTTGAACTGATGAATTCACTCAAATGGAGATACTTTGAGGACGAATGATGTGGCAAATAGTAAAAATAAATAAACGCTTTTGTATTACGAAATTCCGGTTATTTTCGGGTTCCCCTTCGTATGTCCTTATTTTGAACTCTATGCTCGCCTTTTGCCCGTTGAAGAGCGCGGCGAAAGAGCCGAAGCACGCATCCTCGTCTAGCCGCCGTCTCCTTCCGCACGGTAAAAACGGTGCGTTATGATTTCTGAATATCAATAGACACGCAATCGCACACGTGCCCTCACACACGTACACGCACGCACGTACGCACACACATGCACTTCCGAGCACGCAGGCGAACTTTGGAACGAGTGGAAGAATTAGAACAGACTATACTCCGGTAAGCCAATGCCACAAGCACCAGGGCTCGAGGTCGCTGCTTTGAAGTGTTCTTCCACAGAACGAGCGCTCGCGCTAGAAATGCATGTCTTAAAGTCAGAAGCGCGGGCTAGCTCGCGCTTGTAGCTTTGGCTGCAATCTCAGCACGAATGCATCAAGCTACATTTGACAACAAAGTTGCACACCTCCCACAAAGCTGCACAGGGATCTGCACTTCTAACGATGCAAATTATGTGTAAGCCTCAGGGGCGATAATTAGCGAACCGCTCTGCCTTATGCTATCAGCGCGGATACACGACAGGCATCTTCAGGGTGAACGGAGTACAGGGTGCCTCAAGAATAGACGAATTGCTAAATTACCCAAGCATCAAGCAGAATGCGGGGAATCGGTCTATGCGCTGCATGAGCTGGCCTTCCCCGTATAAAAAGATTCCAAGTAAATATCCCAAATAAGGCGTTGACGATCGCGCGTGCAAGATGCCCTTTGTTTTACGCTTTTGCTTTAAAACAGTTACTGCTGCAAACGCCAGCATATGCGGCGCGTATACCTACATTCTCTGCATTCTCCTCGATATTTAGATAATTTAGCAATAGGCATATTGTAGAATTACGTATTCATAAACTCTGATTGATATCGCACCCATTATAAAGTGACAAACTGCCAACGAAAACGAGTTGTGAAATCTGTTACTTTTGGGGGGCAAAGCGAACAATGTGTTAAAGATTGCAAAGTCCCTTGTAGGAAAAACGGCCCATAGGTGATCTGCGACTGCAGGCATCCTGAATCCAAGCGGAGGTGTCGCTGTGGTCTGCGGATACAATGTCGTCAAGAACACAGCCTCGGCACGCAGCAGCATTGGACTCTGCCAGCAGACCAGCGTGTTCTTCCCTGACTTGACGGTTCGGGAGCACCTAGTGTACTTTGGGAAGGTGAGCGGTGACCGCGGGAAACCTCAGCTGGGTTATATATATATATATATATATATATATATATATATATATATATATATATATATATATATATATATATATATATATGTGCCAGGGTGAAAGACGTATGGGGCTTTAGCTCCTTCCCCCTCTCCGCGCCCCCGAAATCCACCCAACCTTATAATACATATACATATGAATTATTGTCCCCCTTCCCCCCCCCCCCCCCCCCCCCCCCCCCGCACCCGAAGTCATGGAGATCCCAGCCACCTGCGCCCCAAATTCGTTGCTACAGCCCTGGTTGCTTGCAAATAAAAGCAAGGCGTCACCGACCTACGTTACATCAAAACGGGATCTTTTAGCAACCCGTTACCGTGTTCCGCGTATCGCACTACCGGAGCGTTTCGAGCACGCTTTTAAGCGCGCGCCCCGGTGATACCGTGACCGCGGAAAGCGCGCGCTTAAAAGCATTCTTCAAAGTCTCCGGTAGTGCGGTACGCGGAAAACGGTAACGGTTTGCTAAAAGTTATGATTATCGTGCACTTAATGCAAAGGTGCAAGCGAGCTGGACAAGAATGAAAATAACCCTGGAGAAGGGGAACCAGGGGGAAGGGGGCCCCCTGTTTCCCTTCTACAGTTATTACTTTCATTGCTAAAAGTCCTCAATAAAAGGAACGCGCTACCTTTACCGACAAAAAAAAAAAGTAACGCACTTTACTTTTGCGTTACTTTTTTATAGATGAATTAGAATGTTTGACTGTTCTCACGCTAAATGTACGCGCCATATTTCAAGAAACGTTATGTCCATGCAGGAGCCTAAAAAATTACCTTATTTTTTTACGGTTTTGATTTTCAATAGGAATGTGGAATAAGTGCAGAAATTCATATAACTTGGCGACTACATTAAAAAAAAAAAAAAAAAAAAAGTCCCTGCGTCTGTTTTTCCGCACAACACTCGGAGAGCCAATCACCGCAATTTACGGAGGCAGCTCAGCGAATGACGATGCCGAAACATACGTTTAGACCAAAAAACGCACTCTGAGTTGTGACATTAAGCAATGCAAGCGTGTCGTTTTGCCATGCCTATAATGTCACAACTCAGACTGCGTTTTTTTGGTCTAAACATATGTTTCGGCATCGTCATTCGCTGAGCTGCCTCCGCAAGTTGCGGTGATTGGCTCTCCGAGTGTTGTGCGGGAAAGCGGATGCACGGGCTTTTTTTAGAGTGTAGAGGTATTATTCTTGTTCTAAAATAATGGCGACTTTGAAAATCAAGTTGCTATAGGCGTTTCCCCCAAACATTGACCTCGTCTCTCTTAAAAAAGTGTCACGACATTCCTACAGTATAAAAAAAAATAACCTCTTTTCTTCAGCTAAAGGGACTCGCTGATGCCCAAGCCTCGACACAAGCTGATAAGACGCTCAAAGCTGTTGGCCTTGAAGAAAAATCACACGCGCTCACGAGTGGCCTTTCGGGTGGCATGCAGAGGAGGCTGAGCATCGCCATCGCCATCGCTTCCAATCCGCAGGCACGTTCCCGTGTCCTACAACTATGGCGTCTGGAACGCGTCTCTCCGAGAGGTGTGTTTAACCCGTCCAAAAAAAGTGGTCCCTCGATTTCCGCCTGAGAAGTGTCATGATTGCTGCCGCCTCTGGCCGCGATCCTGGCTGTATCACAGTAGCGGTGGTGGATGTGACAGACGCCCGTTCTGCTGCAGCCCGCAGCAGAACAGGCTCCAACTTAGCAGTTGACAGAAGCCTCGGTAGATTTGGGACGTCGTGACGACTGCGACACCGCGTTTGCTCGCGCTTTTGTGCCGGAACTTCAGCAGCCAACCACGAGGATCGCGACATCTGACAGCGTGACACTCCTGTTTTTGTGACGTCATTTGTGGCCACTTCGGGACCATTTATAGGAAGCTAAACAGACCAGTCAGAGGCGTCTTCTATAGGCACCGTTATATAACAGCGGCTTCTTACGCGACCCTAGGTGGTCATCTTGGACGAACCGTCTGCGGGCCTGGACGTCGAGAACAAGCGGGAAATTTGGGACTTGTTGCTGGGCATGCGCAGCAAGAGCACGCTGATCATCTCCACGCACGACATGGAGGAGGCCGACATCCTGGCGGATCGGATCATCGTGATGGCCGATGGCAGGGTCCTGTGCAGCGGTTCGCCTGCTTTCCTCAAGAAGGCTTACGGTACGGATCGTTTCATCGCAGCTTATGAAATGCACGGCGAGTTCCAAGTGCTTCGTTTCGTATCAGTCGAGAAGAACGCCGCAGAGCTAATCACGATTTAAGAAGCGTGAACGTATAGTACGCCCTCGTTTCTGGAGCTCTCCGTGAGTATGTGGGTAGAAACTGAGGGATAGGAGGAGACCAGCGCGGGAAGCCAAAGCGCCGAGCTCTAGTTGGAATGATTAGTGGGTAAACCGAAAGCTAGCTGCACTTGTCTTTACTGGCTCTTCTACCGCGAACGCTGGCGTCAGGCGTTTGGAGTTCGCGTTCGAACGCGTTCCAACAGCCAGTAGGGACAAAGGCAGTTAGTTAGCTTTGCGACTACTCATAACTAATTTCAACCAGAGCTCGGTGTTCTGACGCCCCCCGCGCGTCCACGTCTCCTCCACTCCCTCAGCTTCTACTCGCATTTCTACTCCGTCTCACTAAAACCGTGCAGTACAGCCAAAGCTGCAGAGAGTGTATCCCAACCTGTTCAAGAGGAGGGAATGGAGGAACGGAAGAATCACAGCCCCCGTCCCTCCTTTCCCTCCGCTTGAACAGGTTGGCATGCGCTCTCAAAGCGATGATGTCATGGAGCCAATCAAGCTGCTCTAAAAGTGCATAGTCACGGCACTCATCACCTCGGCTTCGATTGGAAGGATAGCGGGTAGAGCTCAAAGCTATCTGTCTCGAGGTCAACCCACTATCCTTCCAATCTAGCCGATCGGAGCTCGGCGTTTTCACGTCCTCGCCACCCCCTGCGCAAGAAGCGGATCGACCAACCTGCGCTCCGCATTGCATCGGCTGCGGTCAGACTCGCGGTGAAACGAAGTATGGGCAGTTTCTTTCAAAAGACATACAGTCGGGGCTCTTCTGTTTTGGACATTGTACCTCTTCCAAGATTTTGTTGACTTTCGCTTCTCTCCCTTCCAACATCCGTTTATCATCTAATGTAAATTCGCCGTCTCACGGCAGGCGTCGGCTATCAACTGCGCATCGTCAAGGACCCCAAGGGACTCGACCTGTCCCAAGTCCTACGGGCGGTACGGAAAGCGGCTCCCAAAGCGGAAGCAGACGACAAGATGAAGGAGGCCATCGTCTCGCTCAACACGCTGAGTCACGCGGGATTCGTCCGGATGTTCAAAGAGCTGGAGGAGCGCGGGACCGAGCTTGGCATCAAGGCCATCGGCGTAATGGTTGCCACCCTCGGGGATGTCTACATTAAGTAAGAAACTCGGCGTTCATATTGTACTCCGTTTTCAGATTATCTTTGTGTGTTTCGGATCACCGGCCAAACCAATCACGCAGAGCAAAAAGACGCCGGATGACCGCGCATTTCCTGGGCCTGATTGGTTTATAGCCGGTGATTTGAAAAGCGCAAAGACGACGGGCATTGCGACGATGCACGTTTGGCTCTACTTGAATGAATGGCTCGTGTCGGATCGTATACTGTTGGATGCGGTCGGATTCTACCTGAAACAGAGTGTAACTATACCTTTTTTTTTTGCGACCCCAATCAAATTGTTGAGATGAGTTAACGTATCCCTCCTTTCGTCAAACCTAACTAGAAAAAAAGAAACTCGAACGTCCATTGTAATAAAATTTCAGTAGGTTATCCGGCCAGATGTAATGAGAAACTCAGAATACAGTTCAGGTGCAATAAAAGCCGTGACTGTCAGCCAGTGTTGTTTTGCCAAATACTCAACAAAAGTATTTAAGATAAGATACGAAATACCCATTTGAAAATGTATTGAGAGTAGTGTTCAAGTTACTTTTGTACGAACTATCTTGAGTAGGGTACAAATACTTTGAAAAAGAAATTGAATCCCTTTCCAAGATACTTGGCAAGTTTTGAAAGCTGGTAATGAAAGAATGAAAAGTCAGAAAGGAGTGCTCTATTTGTGATGACTTCTCTGAAAATCACAATTTGTTGTGACCTTCAAGAACTTCAACAAGTACCTTAGCTGCTGCAATTGAAGTTTGCTCTTAAATAATTCGGGATATGCAACATAATGCGTGCCGAAATAGTTTAGGAACAAACGGGACTCAGGTATCGTACACACGGCAGGCTCGGCACATGGCGCATTCAGCAATAACTCTTTTATATGCCCCGCTGCGATTCGAGTGACTTTGACATGTAGTCCGGCGTTGCATATCCATAACAGCCGAACTAAAAGTTTATCAGGAAGCCAGACTTCTTAATGAGCATGCGAGTAAGCGACACACGCGCACGCTCAGGAGAAATAAGGCCCGTTCACACTCTTGCAACCGAGTACGACCGAGAGAGACCAGACCGGTTTTTAAGCCTTTTGAGACTTCTTAGAACCGGATGCGCTGCAGCGGAGCTGGTCTTAAGAGATCGCAAGATGCTTAAAACCCGGTCTGGTCTCTCTCGGTCTTACTCGGTCGCAAGAGTGTGAACGGGCCTATATATGCTCAAGGACAGCAACCTCTGTCCCTGATTAACAACCAAGAGCGAGTACTTTGTCCCTCCAGTCAAAAGCGAGAAGCACCTGTACCTTCAACATGACAACAAAACAAAACAAGAATATTAGGAAGGACAAGGGGGAAACACAGGAGAGTCTCCACAAAACCGCTTCTAATAGCCCTTCCCTCGCCCCCTCCTGAGCCAGTTGAGACCATGAATATACTAGTTTATAAATGAGTCCGCCTGGCGGAAAACTAGTTTTGAGGATTTTAAAGGGGCTCTGACACCCCAAAGGTCGTATTTATTTTTATTGTCTAAAACGATGCAAGTTGCAGTCATAGACACGCAAAAAAAAAAAACGCATCGCGAAAAAAAATTTTCCCGCGCGCGCGCGCGCCTTTTTATTTTTGGCGTTTGATTTTTTCGCCTCTCGCCTCCTCGCTTCTTTTGATCGGTGACGTCAAGAATCATGAAATTTAGAAGCTTTGTAGGCGACATCTCTATAACATTTAATTACGGCAATCCTAAAACATGTTTTTTAACGCAATTGCGAACGCACTACGGCCCTTCTTTTTGAAATACCAAAAATCGGGAGTTCGTTGTGGTGCCGTCTCCTGGATTTGTATCCTCCAACGGAAAACGGGCGACACCGCTCAAAACCGGTCCGCCGCAACGCCTGCGCTCGCTCCTTTCCTCCTCGCTTTGGGTCGCCATGGCAACAGCAGGGAGTGGTGAAAGGAAGTGGACTCTCAGGACTCCGCAATTTTTGACGTCAAGGCACCGGCGCCGATCGCGCGGGAACTTCGAATTCGGCATTTGGAAATTGTTTTTTTACTTCACAAATACTGAATTCCCAAATTTCAGATTTTGAGGGTAATGTCCCGGCATCGTTTTCAATCGTTTCGGATAATAAAAAAAAAATATGATTTTGATGTGTCAGTGCCCCTTTAAGGAAGGAACAAGAAAAGAGGACAAGAGGACACGGGCGTCCTTGGGGCTATCCATTTGGTCCTTTGTTGGCATTTGCAGGCTGCGTTTTACTTTGCTCGTGTCTTGTGTCCTGTTCTGTGTTCGGTAGCTTGGCTCCAAGTTTGTAGTCAGTTCGGCTTTGCCCTGGAGTCTGATGATCCATAGTTGCGTAGATAATTCCGGAATTTTTTTTTCCAAAAAAGAAAAAAAAAGATCCCCAGAATTATCTACGCAACTATGGATATGGATACGCAACTATGGATACTGAATACAAGGTAATACAACAGGCAATTATGATAAAGTAGCAAATACTCTAGACTAAACGTATTTGACAGGTACCAAAATACTACTAAAAGTATTTGAAATACAGTATCTTGATTAGAGTATTTAAGATAGGCAATGTGCATGCGCAGAACGTGTATTTGGAAAATGTCTGATCTCTTGGTTTCATTCGTATATAAAATAGAAAAAAAAAATTGTGCCTTCCCTGCGTAACGACTTTTTCCACCAAAAAAAAAAAAACAAAAAAACATGAAATGGGAATGAGCCACCAAACTTTCTGTTAGTTTTTTTTTTTTTTTCTGTTTAAAATTTAATTATGTGCACCCGGGGTTGGATTTAGGCTTCGATCCAGTCGGACTGACTTAATGTACCCCCCCCCCCCCCCCAATATGTATCCAGATTCTTTATCCGATCACTAACTTAATAATTACAGTCACGGAAGGTGATATAAATCCACACCTGACTTAGGACTTTATAGGAAACCTTAGTGGTGGATCAAACGAGTGAAGAAGATAAATCTACGAGCTCCAAGGCGGGCATGTGGCAAGTGTTTGGCACTGACAGAGGCTGACACTCATCGACGTCATACATTGTTGTTAAACGGAACGAGAGTTTCAATCTGTATTTTAACATGTCTAGGGACCCTATATAAAACTAATAGTTCATAACTGGGAATAGGAAGCATATTTCTTGATATTGAAATCTATCTATGTAGGATAAACCTTGAGTGGGTTCCAGACGGCTTACAACCAAAGGCGGACTACATGCCTAACGGTGAGTATTGAAGTTGTTGCTTGTGAAAGAAAGAAGCGTGCAGTCTTCTTTGCTTATCCCTGACAAGATTTTTGTGCGTAGAATACGTTTTGGAGTCAGTAAATATCTCTGCAGTCGTTTTAGTACTGAGCCCCAAACCACCACACCAACGAGAACGCCTCAGGTTATATGACTTGTTCTGTCGCTGACCGTTTCTCCTTCTTCCTCCTCCTCCATCATCACGATGATGATGGAGGAGGAGGAGGGACGTCATTATGGGAAACGTTCCACGTTTCTGAAAACAAAAAGTGTCTCCGGCAGTTTTAGTTAAAGCCTCGAATAACTGGCAAAAATGATTTAGAGCACCCAATATGGTTCAAGTGTCGTTACTTTGAAGAGTGCTCTTATTCAGGGGCTCTAGTTTATGCTATGGTCACTGATGGATAGACTTTGATTAGGTAGCCTTGATAGAGCTTTAGTATCGTGCTGCCGTCGCCATTTTGTGGTCGTCGTTTGATTGTCACTTTGTGTGATTTGAGGACTACCAGCAGCTAAGCCTTTACTCTAACCCTCGCAGAAAAGGATGTGGCCATCGCCGGCTCGGTGTCAGGCACCCGACCTGGTGCCGCCAGACAGCTGGGGGCGCTCCTGACCAAGCGCGCCATCTTCTTTTCCCGATCCCACTTCCTGATCCTCTTGGTCTTTCTGACTCCGGCCCTGGTATTTCTGTTGGCGTTCGACGGCAATCGGGAGCGTTTGCTCGAGACGTCCGTCAATACTCGAAGTCTCCCACTGTCTATGAAGACCCTCTACGGCGACGCGCACGCGTTCGCCCAGCATGACGTGGCGGCCAAGGATTATTTCGACCAGTACCGGCCACTGGTCGAGAGTGAAGATGCCAGACTGCGAATATTCAAGGATGCCACCAACGCGTTGCTGGCCGAAGCCCAGGAGGACTACGTTGCGTTCAGCCAGGCCTACCTACTCGGCGGTGTGTTCGAGGGAAAGAGGTCGGTTCCCCTTTCTATTTCACGAAAATAACGAATCGCGGAACAGTCTCGGGCTGCGAGCCTCACCGAAATGCTAACGACCCTTTTCATAAAAATTCCCCAAGAAGGCGCTGCTGTATTTTACATCCCTGCGAACTTCCGGTTAAATAGGAGGACAAATAATCCCCCACCACAACACCATTTGTGCAACGTTCATAAAAGATTTCACCACCAACAGACCCCAAGCGACGCCATGCGCTAAAGGGCGCCCCTACTACCGCGCAGAGAAACTATTGGGCAGATCGCCAACACAAACTAACGTTATTAGATTAGCTCAGTTATGCGGAACTGCTCATACTCGCTGCGTGCACGAGCACTTCCCCCCCTGTCTCTCAACACGGCTCGTCTCCCGTCGTTCGACGCGCCGGATGCCTGTTACGACAGCTGCAGTGTATTCTATGAAATACGTACATGTACATTCTGAAGCACGGCGTCTAGATGGCGTTTTAGCTCTGCTCTGTGGAACGCACAGCTATGAAACGAAAATCCAGATGGCACGGGTATTCCCCTCCGCGGGAGTTCCACAACTAAAGTAATCTAGTAACGTTCACACGAACTCAGCTCTGTTACGTCACGACGCGGTGGTGGCAACGTTATTCGATTAGCTCAGTTACGGAACTGCTCATAGACGCTGCTTACTAGCAGAAACCTCCTCACTCACCACAACTCGCCCCCCTTTCGTTCGACGCGCCACACGGCTGCAGCGTATTCTATGGAATACTTACGTTCCGAAGCGCAGCGTCTGGATGGCGTTCTACCGTGCTCTATGGAACAAACAGTTTTGAAACGAAAATCTAGATGGCGCTTCAAACGACGGGAGGCCCGAGGGGAGGACTGAAGCGAGTGAGGCGGGGTACCCCCTTCTGCAGGAGTTCCACCAATGAGATTATCTAGTAACGTTGGGTGGTAGCGCATCGGGCGTACTTCTGATCTGGGGATGTGGGCGGAAGTCGCCGTGCGGGAGGTTCATCCCTGTGATATTTTGGAAGAAACGGTAAAAACCTACCTTCTCGTCAAAACGCCACGACTCGGATTGTACCCAAAAGAGGCGGGAAGCTTTGAAGGTCAGTTTTCGTGTGTTTTCTGCCTGCTCGGTTTGTCCACGAACGTGGATAGGGGACGTGAAAATGGAAAACAAAACGCCCTCGGACCACGATTGCTTGTACGGGAAGCACTTTGGATTGAATTCACGGATACTTGTGGTCGTCATATCAATTTGTTTTTTTTACAACATGAATACGGGAAAACTGCCAAGTTCTATACGGATGATCTGCGGACTACGTTCGGTGCGTCTTTCAGCTCTAACGGCCGCCTGATCGTTCAAACTGTTGTCTGCTCTTTCAAACGTTTTGTTTGTTGTCGTCTGCTCGTTCAAACGACAGCGGCCCGTAGGCCAAACGTTGACCCGGTAATTGCGATAACATGTAAGTGCAGGCCTCAAAAGAGTTTTACACTTGAAGGTTGGTTGGGGTAAGTAGGCTAGGTGTAAACGGTCGATACAAGGAGATTTTGATAATTGTTACCAGAGGCCATCACCTACTTGTTATGCCTGATTCACTTGATTCGATTCTGCTTGCGACTTTCAGGAACTTCGACTTCAGTCACCCTTGAATCTGAGGTGTATCTACGAGGCAATACAGTTCCGTTTTAACTTGACCTTCACAATTTTGTTTATGATATTGCAGTACATATGTTTAGACCAAAAAACGCAGTCTGAGTTGTGACAGTAAGCAATGCAAGGGCGTGACGTTTTGCATTTCTTAATGTCACAAGTCAGACTGCGTTTTTTGGTCTAAACATATGTTTCGGCATTGTCATTCGCTGAGCTGCCTCCGTAAGTTGCGATGATTGGCTCTCCGAGTGTTGTGCGTGAAAGTAGACGCACAGACTTTTTTTAGAGTGCAGGGGTCTAAATGCAAGGACGCAAAGGTTAGTCCTGGGGGTCCAACTTTGACGGGACTGACGGTAGGGGAGCAAAAGTCCCCGTTAGTCCCCAGCGAACTAATGGCAGTGTCAGCGCATTCACTGCCCTAGGGTCAGAGCCGCGCAACGGTCGTGTCTACCCACCCCCTTGATGCAGTGTGCCCTCCCGTCACCCGCGTGTCGTCCACGTAGAAGATCCTCCGACAATCTTGTCGGTCACGTGTTATCACATGCAGGCACCTCTGCTGCCAGGCGATGATGTCGTCTTGTTCCATCAGCCGCGAGCTTCGTTTCCTCTTGTCATGCTCGAATCCGATGCAGTGGAGAAGGCGACGCACAGTCCAGGCCTTCAACGAGGGGAGTTCAGTGCTCGTGCAGTATTCGGCCATTATCTTTTTGACCGTGGGGACCTCGTTCTGTTGAAAGAAACAGTGGACGCACGTTCTCAGCACGCGCAACGGGGAGTCACCGTACTTGACGTTGCGCCGCGTCTTGCCTTCACTTGCTGGGCGCTTCTGACAGAGTGTCAACAGTGGTGTACACTCTCAGAAAAAAAGGTGTATTATTACACCCCTTGTCCCATATAATACACCCCAAAACTTCAATTCGACGTACAGCGCCCCATAATCGAACAGGCGGACCCAAAGTTTACGAGGGGCTTGGTAGCCGTGTGGTACAACTTATTATGATAGCTGATGTACGTATTATTGACTACAAAAAAACATTATCGGAGTTTTCTTGGCCGTACTGCAAAAGCTCAGTGTTTTCTTTCTTTGGTCTTTGACAGGTACTACATAAATGTAATAAGTTATATGTCACCGTTATCAAGCCCCTGGTAAAATTTGGTGCCGTCTGTTCGACTATAGGGCGCTGTATGTCGAAATGAAGTTTTGGGGTGTATTATATGGGACAAAAGGGTGTAAGGTGATACCCTTTTTTTTTAGAGTGTAGCACCATTTCCCCGCGTTATTAGCCTCACGTTTCGAAAACCCCGAGTGCCAAAAGTCCCGTCTTTACCGCCCCCGTCCCATGCATATTCCTCTTCGCGTTTCAATCAGCATTGTCCCATGTCTTAACCTAAGATGTTGACGGTCTAGAACAGGTCTCTTCAGTGATGCACTCTGCTGTCATGGAGGAAGCTCAGACTCAGAATAATAGACTTTATCTACATAAATGGATACAAATATCTTGATAATGGAACCGGTGTTTGGTGTTGTGATACGTATGGCGCCATGAGCTGCGGGTTAACAGTTTTTACAGAATCCATTTCGCCGGAAATGGGAATCCGCGCGTGCTTTAGAGCCGAAAGCTTTGATTCAATGCTTGATGCTTGATAAAAACTGTCTTTATGTTGCCATTGACTTACATTTCTGAGCCGCGAATGTGTACCTTAAGAACGAAACCATACCTTAAGAACGAAAACTTTATCTAGTTATTCTTTACTTCAGTCCCATGTATGGCATCATTACGTTACACAAGCTTGCGTGCACACGTTACACAAGCTCGAGGGATACGCGTCATTGCTTTCTCAAACTGGGGCTTTTGAAAGCGGGGCGAAAAGGGCATTTGACACGGGGCTTTTAATATCGGGTGCTTTCGAGGACCACAAGTAAAAAAAAACTGTCCCTCGGTTGTTTTCGCCTTTTTCCTGATCTTGAGGATGGCACGTGCACCAATGCCAAGTAGAAAGCTGGCTTCGATGCAGGACTTCTCCACAGGAAGGCCGGGCTGACCGGCATGGCGGGCGATGCGTATCGCACCTGAATGTTCGCGTTCATTATCCGCTGCCGTGCAACTTGGTTGAGGCCATCGCCGCTCTTATGTTTCTTGTAGAGGCGCCTTGCTGTAAACGGTGATGCTGCACCAGACTCCCTTGACGAAAAAGAGTCGGAGGAATCGTATTTCGCTGTCTCCACATTGGGATTCTTGGGATTCATAACAGAAAACAAAGGCCACTTCGGATTTGTCCAAATTCAAAACGCGGGGGTTTTCAAAACCCGAAACGCAGGGTTTCGGTTTCCTCTGTCTTCCCTGTTTAACAAACGCAGCGAATGTACCTAATTCGTGTAGGATGGTTACCAAGCCAAAACCAACAACCATATGTGCATTACTTAAAATAAATTATAATTCATATTTGTTTGCAGAGCAAGGGATGCTTTATTTTTGCCTCCTAATTCATATAATTGCACTTTTGCTCCAACTTTTTTTTTCTAATAATAGATATATTAACATTTTTATTAACGAACAATTTTCGTGGCCACTGAAGCTTTTTCTTTTTATATTTTTTACTTCGGTTTTCCGGAGCCAGTAATGTAGAAGCCTAAACCACATTATTTGCCCGGATAGGTGGTGCAAGCTGCCGCCTGTTACAAGGTCTGTAGCCAATATCTATCCATTGGAGCAGGAGGGGCGTTTTCAGGGAACTATTGTCTCGACTGCTGAGGCGTTTGAAGCAGGCGCATCACGCTTGTGAAGAGGTACTTGTACTCTCCTGTTGGCTTGTAACCTACTGTAGTGTTCAGAGGTCAAGAATAGGTTAGCGTCAAATCTGTTGGAGAGTTTTGGATAATCCTATAAGGAAACCGATCACCTGGAATATGTTTAATAACACAGCAGAAAGGGCCTGGCTAAATCTCCAACTTCGTCGTTTTAGTAGCATGGAAACGTTCTAGAACTTCTGACATAAAAAAAGCTCGAAGCAGCGATTGGTAACCGCCTGGGACCCAGGAGACTGCTTGGGTTTTTAAACATAAAAACGTCCTATTCCGGAGTGAAGCAAAATAAATAAATCGGACTATGTGCGACATCTCAGCGAACTTCTCACTTTAGTTCCTATTGTATCGAATTGATTTGATGAGGGGCGGGTAGGGGTGGCCAAACTGCGGCTCGCGAGCCGCATACGGTTCCTCGAGTGTCCAAGTGCGGCTCCCTGGTAAGCGTGCCCCCTTTCCTCTCCCGTGCCCCCCAAGACAAAAAAAAAAAAAAAAAGTTCTAGAATGAAAAGAAATAGCTCACAATCTTGGCAACCTTGTACTACACTACGTAAATACGGCTGGAGTACTTTTTACACATAGATGTGTCCAGTGACCCTATCTCCTTTATTGTTCTAGAAATAATTTCGAACCGTATACGTGACTGGTTAGCGAACCCTGCATTTATTTTTTATTAGCGGTTGAAGAAAAGTTCTGCTGCCTGGTGTTATTTGTTGCAGTCGACAAATATTCTTGTCCCCTTTGAAAAGGACTCTTCTCTCCATATCGTTTCTTGTGATCCCAAGGATTCCGCTTTTATCCTTGAACGTACACGACGACAAAAAAGCTTCTTGGTCGCTGACGTTGCGTTCGAATATGCTTGGGGTTCCAATAGTTCCAGTAAACTTAGGTAAAGTGAGAAACTTTCCTACCCAATGTCTTTGCTCGGCCCCTTTACTTTCAGGCTCGAGAGCTGGTACAACCCTTTCGCTCCCCTCAGCCATGCGATCGGCGTCAACCTTCTGGACACTGCGCTCCTCCGTCTGCTGACCGGGAAACACGCCGCCCGAATCCGAACCACGATCAAAGTGACCGCGAACCCCTTGGCGGGCCAAACAGAGCAACAGAAGCGCCAAATGGGAACCGTGAACTCGATGGTTCAGATGTTCTTCGGACTGCTTTCATGGACCTTCGTCGCCCCGGCGGTGGTGGGCCTGCTGCTCTCCGACTTCGTCATCTTCCCGTTCACGGAGACCGCCAGCCACGCCAAAGAGCTCCAGCTCATGACCGGCGTTTCCGGTTACCTGTACTGTCTGTCCAACTTTTTCTTCGACCTCGTCGTCTACCTGGTGGCCTTTGTTCCGCTGGCCGTGTGCTTCGTCTTTCTGTACAGCCTGGAGACGCAGTCGTACGGTAACAAACTTGTTAATCCGGTAGCATTTCTTTAACGACGTGTTGGAGCTGTGCAGGTTGGGTCATGCTTGTGGATAGAAGCAGCCTTTCTTCTTATAGTATGCAGGCTGTTTGTATTTTAAACTTCCTAAATTTGTTTAAAAAAAAAAACGTAAAAGCTACATAAATGCGGTCTACGCAGGGGAGTCATACGTCCAGGGGACAAATATATAGGACTAATCCTCACAAGTCAGATAAATAACTAATTGTCGCTGATAAACTTTTTAACTAGTGAAAATAAATATATAGGTACAATTATAAACTTGATCAGCGTCAATGAAAACCACTAAATCTGTCCATTTCAGAAAGACTGTGAGCACGGGTGACGCGGACTAGTGCGCTAACGTTACTGTACTCGTGCAACGGGCGCAAGCCCGGCGGTATGTAAAAACGCGAATGATAGACAGAAAACCCGCCCAGGCGTTTTTTCGCACATCGAGGCTTGCGCCTGCTGCAAAAGGCGACTTTAGCGCGCCACCGCACTTCCCGCACGATTTCAATCTTTCCAAATTTAGTGGTTTAGTGGTTTTCGATGATTCTCAGCAAGTTTGTGTTTGTAACCATGTGTTTCTATTCATTAAATAAAATTAACACATTTGAGTCAATAATCCGAATTATCGCGACGATTAGCCCTCTATATTGTGTCCCCTTGGCTATATAACTTGCCTGCACAGACTGCGCATTAATCCACCTTTAACTCTTTTTTTTTAACAATGCTGTAGTGGCTAAACAAGACCTTGTACTTTTCAGAAAAAAAGATAAATAAATAAATGAAACTCAAAGGTATATCAATTAATATGCTACGTCCCTTGTAGAATTCCTACCGCTAAACGTCACCTCTATGTTAAGGCAATAAGTTTCAAATTTCAAGTTTCTTTATGTTACCTTCATACCAGAAAAAAAGAAGGAGAAAAAGCAGTACAAAACTGCTTGACAGAGCCCCCTCCTCCCTCAAATGCGGAGAAAGCTCTCAAAATATAAAAAAAAGAAGTTCAAGAATACATAACTCGAAAAACCAGTAAAGATAGTAGGGTGATTCCACGAGAGATCGAGCCTGCAGGTCCACTCAACATTTTTATTTTTTCTGGTTTATTTTTTTGTGATGTACACACAAATAAATCGCACGAAACTGAACTTTTTTTTTCTCGAAAACTTCTTACTACGAGAAAAAAAAAAAAAGAAAAATGTTTCACGATTGCTCCCACCGCGGACTGCATTAGTTGCCACCTTTGCGGTCCTGTGGAAGGCAGGCAGAAAGTGGTAGGCCAAAAATGTTTCCTGTCCCACGTAACACATCAAAGTTTAAGTCAACCGCATGCAGTTGTTATGTGCCTTATGAAATAAAACATCATATAAAAAATAATGCGTTTTGACGAGGTGCAACAAATACACAAACTTTCAGGCCTTCTACCTCAATGAGGCAAAATGTATGGCATTAGCGACTTTGAAAACTATACATAATATAAGCCAGTGCATCTAAATTATTCTTGCAAAATATGAACTTCCAATAAAAATATAAACATAGAAAAAACATTTTGAAAAACACATTTTCAAAAAAATATTTATATTTAAAAAACAAAATAAAAGAACGCCCGGTCTCGATTTCGTTAAAACTCTGGGGTACAACTCTCCTTAGGCCAGGCGAAAAGAACGTACAAACATGTTGCACCATTTGTTTGGTACAAAAGTTCTAAGCGGTCAAAATGGCGGTGTCGAAGCGTCTTCACTGCGGCGTTTTTCGCTTCACCCCACCCTGAACTGAGGGTCAATAAAAATGTTTTCTCTCTCTCTCCCCCGCTGCTGGTATCTTTTTTTTTTTTTTTTTAGAAAAAGTATTTTTTTTTCGCCACAAATAATAAATTTGTGTTGTAGCTTGCTGTAATAAAAACATCTTTCCTGATTATTTTTTTTCTTCTGGTTGTTTACGGGCACTCGTGAAAGTTTACTCTCCTTGATCGCGCTTGGACTTCTCATGTCTCGTTTATTCAAATTCTAGGGAATAAAAGAACGACGCCTCAGGTACAAGGTAACGGGGCGCTTATACTACGGCGAAGCCGAGGAGGAGGTTTGTTTATGTTTGCCACGCGGTATACGTGGTTCGCGGTCGCTGTCGCTGTCAGGAGCTCGTAAGATATTTGAGCTCACGTTTATCGCGGGGAAAACGTACACATCCCCTTGGCTCCGCCTTAACATAAGCACCCCGTATCCTTGTACCCGGGGCGTTGTGCCTTCATTCTCTAAAGTTCCAATGAACGAGACTCGAGCAGACTTCAGCCTAACTTTGGCACGAATAGTTGTCCATGTGCTTCTTTCCTTACGTCTAAATACAACTCCCTGTAACGCCGAATTGGAGCGCATCTCTTGAAGAGGAGGAGGGAAGGGTACTGAGGGGAGGGTATACCCCTCCTCCGTCCTCCTCACCTCGTCATCCTGTCTGCTACTCAGTGTTGTACGGAACGGCGTTCCAAGGAACGGCGTTCCTGGAACGCGTTCCTTTTAGGAGGAACGAAGGAACGCCGTCGTTACATTTTGCATCGGTGGAACTGGGACGGGAACTCCTTGCTTTTTTTACTGAAACGGAAAGAGTAACGGCGTTCCTTTTTTTTTTCGTCCAGTGAGGTAATTTTTAGTTCATTTCTAAGAGGGGAATTCTAGAAGTGTACAAACTATATATATTAAGAAGATATTGTTTTAACTCGTTAACCATTTGGCTGCTTATCGTTGGGTTTACTTTTTGTGTGGCCCTCGCTTAGTAACAGTCGTATGCAGGAGAGCTAGTGGACATTGTAGTGGGCGCTACTGAAGTGATGGTGTTTTTTCTTATTGCTCACCAGAGGACACCATCATTTATAGAGGATTATATAAGGAGCGGCGCGTGAGATTAAAGGGCTTTTTTGGTTGTGGTCACGAGCTGGGCTGTTGTCACTTGGCCGTCGTCCGTTCCGAACGTTCCGAACATGGTGTCAGAAGCTGGTTAACGCCGTCACTATTGCGGAATGTGAACCCCGTATCCAAGTGGTTCGCGTCGGAGCGTCGGGACTTCATCCTCCGGCTCCATTCACTTTCACCAGCCCGGCGGAATGGCCGACATGGATCGCGACTTATCAGGACTACGCCTTCGCGTCTCTACGTCGTGCAAAATCAGCACACGTCTCTTCTCGGACTGCCTGCCATTGAAGCTCTGGGCGTTATTCAGTTCCTGGACTCGACGGAATACGTTCCATCAACTCAAGCCAAGATTTTTCAAGGCTTGGGGGAACTCCAAGAGGAGTATCACATCCGTCTCCAGCCGAATGTTCGTCCATTTTCTCTGAGCGTTCCAAGACGGATTCCAATCCCTCTGCTAGGTGTCGTGAAAAAGGAACTGGATGACATGGAGGCCCAAGGTGTCATTCGAAAAATCGACACGCCAACTCAGTGGTGTTCCGGTCTAGTCGTTGTTCCCAAACCATCAGGCGGGTACACACTGTGCGTGGACTTGACAAAGCTGAATCAAGTGATTCAGCGAGAACGTTACGTCTTGCCCACTGTCGAATACATACTGGGTCAGTTGGGTGAAGCTCAGATATTTTCCAAGCTCGATGCTAGGTCCAGCTTCCATCAGGTGAAACTTAGTCGTGACAGTGAAGAGCTCACGACGTTCATCACTCCCTTCGGCCGGTATTGCTACAAGCGTCTTCCATTTGGCATCGCATCGGCACCGGAGTACTTTCAACGCCTGATGTCAAGACTTCTTGAAGGTCTCTCGGGTGTCGTCAACATGATTGACGACATTCTAATCTTTGGGAGGGATCGTCGCGAACACGATCAACGTCTGGCCGATGTCTTGAGTCGCCTGGAACAAGCTGGGGTTACACTGAACGAGAAAAAGTGAATTCCGCGTCACCTCTGTCAAGTTCCTAGGCGTTGTCGTGGATGCCGAAGGAATTTCGCCAGATCCAGACAAGATCAAAGCCATCAAGAATTTGATGCCACCAGAAGATATCAGCGGTGTACGCCGGTTGCTTGGGATGGCTAATCACATCGGACGGTTCATTCCACACCTTGCTGACGTTACCACACCAATTCGCTCTCTGTTAAACAAGAACAGCGTCTGGATGTGGGGTCCTAGCCAAGAGGAGGCTTTCGCCCGCCTCAAGTCACTGCTTAGCTCTGAAACATGCATGGCAAAGTACCACCCGCGCTACCCTACCGTAGTATCTGCAGATGCCAGTTCTTATGGTTTGGGAGCCGTGCTGCTTCAAGAGCAACCTTCGGGGACTCGGCGGGCTGTCGCTTTTTGCTTCCACATCCCTCACTCCCACGGAGGGTCGCTACAGTCAAACGGAGAAGGAGTCTCCAGCCGTAACGTGGGCCGTCTTACGGTTCGACCAGTATATTCGTGGTCTGAACTTCGAGGTCGAGACAGATCACCTTCCTCTTGTCGCCCTTCTCGGAGGAAAGGACCTGGAGCTTTTGCCACCGCGGGTGGCAAAAGCCATGCGAATCAAGCTGATGCGTTATCAGTACAACATGAAGTATGTACCGGGAAAGCTCTTGGCGACTGCCGACACACTCTCACGAGCACCTTGTGACGCGCCAGCTTCGAAAGAAGTAGGGAGTGTGGAACTCTTCATTGGCGAAGTCTTCAAAGACCTGCCGCCAGCGGTGGCGAGTCGACTGGAAGACGTCCGCCAGCACCAAACGCAAGATGGGGAGTGTTCCATGGTGGTAACTTACTGTGGAAGAGGTTGGCCCAGCAAAAACAAAGTGCCAGCTCACATTGCTCCGTATTGGAAGGAGAGAGAACGATTGAGCGTCTACAAAGGCGTACTACTTCTAGATCGCCGCGTCGTCATTCCGTCCGCTCTCCGACAGAGTATCCTGGCCTTACTGCACGAAGGGCACCAGGGCGTTCGCCGCTGTCAAGAACGCGCTAGAGAAAGCGTTTGGTGGCCGAACTGCAATTTACACATCGAACATCTTGTAGCCGAGTGTGCCAAATGCGCCGAAACTC